ATTTCAACAAAATATATTGAAGACAGCAAAGAGCAAATAAGACTTTAGATTTATGCACTAGTTATCTTTGGTCTCCATTATGGAACACAATGTGCAATAACTGTTCCCATTTTGGAATGTCTTTACCACATACTCCATACATGTATGTGATTAGGCATTGTTTTTTTAAGCTAGTTCCATGAAATTATGAGCTACTACCAGTCAAGCATGTCATAGCCAACATCTCTGCCCTCTTGTCTGGGCCAAAGCCTCATGCCATTGGCCTTGAAGAGGATGATCGGAGTAATAAAACAGCTTGGTTTTATATGGATGGTGCTGGTTTATTTTGGATGATGCTTGATCATGGAATCCATAGCCCCTTGTATAGATAATTTCAGCAAGAGAATGAGAGGCTGTAGCTGGAATAAAGCTGTCATTTTCATCACATACTTTAGCTTCTTGGTAGTGTTCTGAGGTAGTCAGAGGTGTATTACTACTCCCGTGTTAAATACTCTGACCTATTTTTTTTCTTCCTTAAAACTCTGTGGGCTGTTTGTTCCAAACATGATTCCCTCTTGGGGAAACACATGAATCACATCTCCCCCATCATTCCTTTGCACGCCCGTATCAATTTTCTGTTGCTAAAGCATCTCTTGTGACTGGAACTTTTGCCACTCACCATTTTTAACAGAAGAATTTTCAAGTCACACAGTCCATTTGTCTTAATGAATCCCTCCCAGGCTACATGACGCCAGGCTCCAGAGTTTCCCTTGTGCCCAAGGATGGTGCCCATCTACGAGCTGCTTCCTCCATGGCAATCAGCACTATTAGTTTCTAAGTGTATCTATGTCTGTAATCATTCTCACAGACAGTGAAATGAGGTCATTTGATGGTTGTGTTCAGTTAGTTTATTTGAATGTTAGAATCTATGGCTTATCATCCTTGTAAGGATAAAACCTGGAAAATGTTGGTCTTATTTTCTATAAATGGAAAGTAAAACTTCCCAGAGTTAATACCTAGAAAGGAAGCTATAGCAATAGCTGCTCCTAAATATTATTGCTACATGAAAAGGCTGCAAATGAGGCCACAAGCTATAAGCCAATAATTACCTGAACTGTTCCAGTAGTGATCTCATTGCGGTCCATGTCACATCTTCCCTTGGTTCTTCATCTTCTGCTTGATATTCACATCTCATCAGTTCCTTCTGCCCCTCTGACTGGAGGACAGGGCCATGGACTCCAGGTCCTCTATTTAAGGAGGGGACTCAGCCCAATCTTCTCCCTTTTCCCACCAGCTCCATTGCTTTAGGACTTCTTTGGACTTCAGCATGACCTCAGGGACTTTCGGGGACCTTCTTCCCCTCCCCCTTCTCAGTTTCTTTTTGTGTATTGTCTCCCCCCTCAATTAGATTGTAAGGATCTGGAGGGTAGGCACTGTTATTTTTATTTGTATTTGTGTCCTCGATGCTTAGCCCAGGACCTGGTACATAATAGGTTCTTAATAAATATTTATTGCCTGACTGATTTCTCCAATCCATCCTCCACACAGCTGCCAAAATCATCTTTCTAAAGCACCAGTCTGATTTCATCACCCCTCTGTTTGAGAACTTGCCTCTAGAAAAAGGTATAAACTCTTTGTCCCAGCCTGGCTCCAGCCTTATTTTTTCATATTGATTTCACACAGCTGCTTATTCCAAATTTCATCAGTGCGACCAACCTGCCCTACTTGCTTTTCCCCAGTCTGCCACTTCTGTGGTAGATTCTCCCATTTGCCACCTCGGGGCCTTTGCCTAGATGCTAAGTCTCCCATGTCTGGAATGTGCTACCTCTTAGAATTTTTAGATTTCTTAAGGATTCAATTCAGTTCAGGTGCCAACCACTTCTGAAAGATTTTCCCATACTCCCTTGGTTGTTAGTGAACTCTACCTCCTCAAAGTAGATTACATTTATTTTATTTATTTGAAATAATGTTTATAAAGTGCTTTGCAAACTAATTATCACCATCATTGTTATTATTAATCCATGTAAATGTTTTATCTCTTCTTCTTTCCTCAGTAGAATGTAAGCTCTTTGAGGACAAAGACTTTTTCCTTCTGTCTTTGTATTCCCAGTCATCAGCACCATACATAGAAGTTACTTCATAAATGCTCGTTGAGTTGAATTGAATTCTTCCATTGACCCAGTCATTCTCAACCATAGCTTCAGCATGGTCTGTTCCCAGAGGAATCAACAGCAGTCCTGAAGCCCTGAGCTGCCCTCTATGGGGTACAGATGGATAGACACAACACAGCTCATTACAAATATTCATTTAAAAGAACTCTCTCACTTCTCTTCGGGAGAAAAAGAAAATGGACAGCCTAATTCCTTCACGTTTTCAAAGAGATGCCTTTTGGTCTAAGTCTAAAAAAAAATATATATATATATATATATATATATATATATATATATATATATTATATATATATATAATATATATATATATATATAATATATATATATATATATATATATATGACCTAGAGATCTCAAAATAAACAGTCTAACTGATGTTAATTCTAGCAGTCAATTCCAGCTGGTTACTTCTAGCATGTTCTGCCTAGGTTGATTTCTTTTTTCCCCCAGTTATATAACTCACAGAATGTCAGTAATTTTTAATGGCCTGAAAATTTCCTAGCTGGCCTCTCTGCAAAGGGCTTTGAGTTCCTTGGAAGTCTTCTAATCAATAAACATTTATTAAGTGCCTACAAGGGCTTAATAAATTTTTATTTTGTGTATACATTTGTATATTGACTTCTGGAGCAACTCTTAAGTGGTTTCTAGATAACGTCTAATCTTTAGAGCCTTCTGTCAGCCTGGAAGGTAGCTGATAAGTCTTGTGTTCTAGCAATAGACCAGAGAACTGAGGCTGACAGGAAAGATAATTGAGTAAAAGAGCCTGCTGCTGTCAGCTTGTGTTAGAGACCTTTTCTGTTGCTGTCCGTTCAGTACTATCCTAAGGTCGTCTAGCTTTTCAAGGATGGCATTACTTAGTGGTTAGTTTAAGTATGATGGCCCTGCTCTACAATTTGTTGACTTGTTCATGCTGTTAGGAAGAGGAGCTATTTTCATTTCTGGCCAGTGAAGGGAAAAGTTTGGCATATTTCTATTTACATTATCCAGTGGTAGGACTTTGGGGTAGTAATGCCTGAAATGGTATGTCCAGCATTTTTATGTCTTTGAAATGTTTACAAATATGAAAAGCTAATATGAATTGCTAAAGTTACTTTTTTAAAAATGCTTGATTGGGGCAGCTAAGTGGCACAGTGGATAGAGCACTGGCCCTGGAGTCAGGAGGATCTGAGTTCAAATTTGGCCTCGGACACTTGATGTAGCTGTGTGACCCTGGGCAATTCATTTAATCCTGATTTCCTCATCTCCCCCCCTCCCCCAAAAAATGCTTGATTGAATTACAGGCCAACTCCCTTTGTCCCTGGGGGTTTAGGTGGAAATGAGGGGAAAGGGAAGAGAAATGGACTTTCTGCTTACTAACTATGCCTTAGTAACTAGGCAATTAGTAGATGGGAAGGGGGAAAAATCACTAATTCTGGGTTAAAGAGAGGAAACATACTTATTGCATTATAAAACTTCTCATTGTTAAACATCAAGGTTGAGCGGGAGACTTATACTCTTACCTGTAAATACTACTAGTTGTTATCCTTCATAATTCAAGAGGACCAAAGTGACACCGCTATCTCAAGGTCAATGTACAGTGTGTCTGGATGTGGCTGATACAGACCAATATGAATTTAGAAAGCTCTACCACAGGTTGGGCACAGATAGTCTTTATGAACGTTGGGGATGTCTCTAAATTTCAGTCTAAATCACACTGAATACCTTATTGAAGGCAGTGGTAGTGATGATGGTGGCGGTAACAATTAGCTTTTATACTGTGCTTTAAGATTTGCATAACACCTTACAAACATCCTCTCATTTAATCCTCACAACACACCTGGAAAGTAGGTGCTATTATTACTTCCCATTTTACAGGTGAAAAAACTGAGGTGGACAGAGGACACATGACTTTGCCCAGGGTCACACAGCTAGAGAGTGTCTGGGCCCATATTAGAACCAGATCCAGTACTCTGTCTACAGTATCACCTCTAGCACTACAAATGTCCATAGGCCACTGCCATATCAGTGTTTGGAATTTCCCTTGCCATTGGGAATGGACCAAACATATTCAGAGATCCATATTAATTCAGCCTTCAGCCTATAGCATGGTTGGTGCCTTTTGCAAAGTAGCTGTTTAGTAAATACTTGTTTAATTAAACTGAACAATATAAAAGTTATATTTAGGGACCTAGAAACTCTTTCTTAACCTAGTAATTAATGGACTAAAAAAAATTAAGTAGCATCAGGGCTCCCTTTACACTAGAAGAGACAGTAACATTTATATTCATTGAGCAGAAATTGGTCCCTGCTTCCATTTTCTGAGTCTAAAAAAGTTTCTCCAGGAGGCACTTCCAATTAGTAAGCTCTACTCAATGTCTGGAGCCATGCTGAAGACAGAAGTGCTTGATTAAATGCACAAGGCCAAGAATTTCTGTTGAACTAGGAATTCCCTGGGTGATAGATTTCAATGTGTGTGCCCTGGTGGGACAGAGATAGTATGGGTTGATCACAGACTAGTTTTGAAAACTAGTGTTGGTCAAGTGACTCACTTCACTTGGGAATGGCCAGGGGAGGAGGAAGGAGGAAGGGTGTTGGTGGGTGGGGAATTCTATTGACCTAAGCAGAAAGCTCCTTGTATAGAATGTTGGGATCCTGAAGTGAGGTCAACCTTGCATGTGAAAACATCAGTTATAGGTTTGCATGGAAGTCAGGGAAAATCTCTGGGTAAACAACTTTCCCAAAAAGTAGGTCAATGTGTAGAGTGAACAAGACTGTAGGAACTTCTTTGCTACAGCCTGTCTTGCAATAGAAATAATAAATTTGTTCCAATTGTTGTTGCCACTTCAAGATGCCTTTGCTTTTTCCATCTAGAATGAAGACAAAGGCAGAGATGGTGTGCCTAAGAAACTTCAAAAGGTGTAGACCTCCTGACTGAAGAGTAGTCCACCTGCTTTTCTCCCTTTTACCATTGTAGTAAGTATAACAATTTAACCTGTGTTCATTTCCATCTGTGTTGGCCTGTACTCCATATAGGGACACTTAGTCAAATCACTATTAAACATTTAGAGTGTGTTATGCCATTTTCAATATTAAAGCTATTTGGTCTCTTTTAGAGATGTTATTCCTTTTTGACTTGTACCCTCTGCACTTAAATACAGAATAAGCCTGCAGTTCCTTCTACATAATGGCCTTTCAGATGTTTAAAGATAGCTCTGTTATCCTGTCTCTTTTTTTAGCATTCTCTTCTCCATACCAAACTGCAGTTCCCTCAACCATTTCAGAGGACATAATTTCAAGTCCTAATACCCATCATGGTCCTCCTTTTGTATGTGCTCTAATTTGTGAGTGACCCTCTTGAGATGTGGTAACCAGAAGTGGATACCCATCTCCAGTGGTGGCCTGACCAATGTGGACAGTATGTTCTCTTTACTTGAACATTCTGCTTCTATTTTGTTGTGTAGAGTTGCATCAGCTGTTGTACATAATACTGCCGGTTTATATGAAGTCAGGTAAAACACAGAGGCCTCTTTCCCTGTCAAGCCAGGCCTTTCCATCTTGTACTTACTGAGTTCATGCAGGCCTTTCAGTTTATTCCTGTTGAAATCCATCTTGTTGTTCTGAGCTTGTTCAGGCTTGTTGAAATTTTTAAATACTCATTTTCTCTTTTACTGTATTCATTACCTCTACTAGCATGGTTTCATCTGAAAATTTGGTTAATGTGATTCATCAACAAAATGATAAACAAGACCAGAGCCCTAGGAACTCCAAAACCCTCCAGATTTCTATCAGTCCATTAAGCAGCCCTCTTTTGTGTAAAACAGTAGCAGATCTACTGGATTGTATTTCCATTCAATCCACATTGTGCATTTTACAAACAAGGTAATATTTGCCAAGCACTTAACCCTGCAAGTAATTAAGAAATGCTTCTTGCCTTCCCTTGCCTTCTCTTCCCTACATTTCTCCATCTTTTTCCACAAAGATACATTTTCCTAGGCCTTGTTTAAATCAAGTGCCCTGCATCTTTGACATTCTTACAATCTACCAGTCTGGTTGCAGCCAGTGTCAGCAGAGGGAGTACCCACATTTTCAAAATTGTCCATTCTTGAAGAATTGAAAATAGGGTTCCTCTGTCCCCTAGTAACAAGTGCAAACCATCAATAATCTTTAAGAGTTGCATGGCCAAATTAAAAAAACATCTCTTTGCAGCTAACCTCTCTGAACATAGCTAGGCTGCTCCTTAGATAGTAAAGACACACAGTCTGTCCCAGGTCATAAAGTACTAAGAGCCTTCCTTACTGAAATTCTATTGGTGAAATCTTCTAGAATCTCAGGCTAAGAAGACTCCATGCTTTGAGAAGCCATAGCACGTCAGTTTGCTCCAGTCTCTTCTGCAATTTTTCTAAAGGTGGATCTCAAGATTCCCACTCTCGATTTTCTGGACTCTCCTTTTCCCTTTTCGTAGTCCTTTTTTTAGATTACCTCCAAGCCATAAGTAGGGACATTAGAGGAGGGGCCGGTGGTATTCCTTTGGCATGTCATGTTCTTAGTCAACTTAATTCTGTTTCCTTGTAGAATTTTTTCCAGAAGTAGATCTCAGACCTACCATTCTGAAATTTCTGGAATCTTATCTGTCTTCCTCATTTGAATGTCAAAACAACATCTTTCCCATTCTCTCTAATTTTCCCCAAATTACCAACAGTAGTTCCATGATGGCATCTTCCAATTGATTTTGTTTTGCCCAGTTTGCAAGATACAGTGCACAAATATGGAGTTGGAAGGGTCTGCAATGCGCTGTTTGTCCATCCCATCCCAGCCAGTGATATCCCAATGTTGGCTTGAAAACCTCAACCACGCAGGAGCCCCCTAAGGGCAGCCAGCTCCACCAGACTTAGATAATTTGGGTAGAAAGGTTTTCCTTCAACTCCCTAGGCATTTACTGAATGCCTGTTATTGAGCACTTGGCAGGCGCTGTGCTATGTACTGGGTTAACAAAGACAAACGTGAAATAGCCCTCCATCTTCAAGGATCTTACCTCCCTCTGGGAGGCATCAGCACAGGTACAGAGAAGAAATACAAAGTCATTTCAGTGGGTGAAGTTCTAACAACTAGAGAGGTTAGGAAAGGCTTCCTGTAGAAGGCGATACCTGAATGGACCTGAAGGAAATTAGGGATGGTCGGAGATGAAGGTGAGGAGAGAGCCTCCAAGACCCATGCAAGTGGGAGATGGACTTCCATGCAGGGTCATTTATGCATTACTTGGTCCTCTTGGAGAACGAAGGACAAACAACAACAACAAATGCCAATATCTTCCACCCATTACACTTCATTCTGTGGTGTGAGGGCAATCAGAAGAAATCGAATCTCTCTTCTAGGAGGCAAGCCTTCAAACCCTTGAAGATGTCTTTCCTATCTTTCCTGAGTCATCTGGGCTTGACATTCAGTGAGGTCATAGAGGGTATCCCAAAAGTCTTAGTGCCATTTAAAGCTATTAAAGTTTAATCTGTGTCTTTGTGTGTGTGTGTGTATGTGTGTGCACACCCACGCGCACACATATGTAGCTTTGCAAACCTTAAAGTCCTATAGAAATGCTACCTATTGTTAGACATTTTCAAAGTGGCTGGACACCCTCTCACCCTCTTTCTCCCATTTTAAGCTTCAATTTCATGTTAATAATTGTAGAACACTGGGCCTAGAGTCAGGAAGACTTGAGTTCAAATGAGGCTTTAGAAATTACTAGTTGTATGACCCTGGGCAATTCACTTAACATTCTCTCTGCCTCAGTTGCCTTGTCTGTTAAAGGGGGGTAATGATAATATGTACCTCCCAGGGTTGTTAAAAGGATCAAATGAGATAATATTTGTAAAGTGCTTAGACCAGTGCTTGGCACATAGTAGGTACTTAAGACATCCTCCTTGTCCCATTTGGAAGGTCATTCTCTTTGATGAGGAAGGCAAGCAGTGTGAAAGTCATCCTTCTATTTTCTCTGTTTATGCTGTGTACTGTTTTCTCTGGACGTTGGTCTTAGCTCATTGTAGGCTTTTGCCTTCCTGGAAGTATTATTATAGGTTAATATCAATTTGAGGTATTTGGGGCCTTGGTGATGTGTCTGCTCTAGTCTTTTGTACATTTTAAATCTCATCCAAGAGCCCCTCAGTAGCTTTGAAGAAGGAAAAATGAAATGTTAGCGCTATTTTAGCCCTACGTTAATAATGGTAGCCCAGGACTCTCAGGACTTTATGATCCCATCCATGGGGATGTGCCCTCCTGTGATGCAAATCTCAACCGCTCCCTAACCACCCATCCTCTGAGAACACAGTCATGATGGGAGTTCTTACCAAGCCTACATCTTTCATTGACCCACTCTGCAGGACTTCAGTCGAGTTAGAACTGCATGTGTAGACTTAGACGCTCGCATCCCCTGTTCCACTTTATTGGTCTTACCACATGCCAGTGAGTCTTTAAGCTTGAGAAACTAATGATTCTGGAAGACCTAGTGATGAGTGCAAGGCAGAGCAAGGGAGGTGGCATTTTCCTGTCTGGACTGGACAAATAGCTTTCTAATTTTGGGCTGGAAAATCCAGCTTGTTTTCCTAAAGAGAAAACGCCACTTAAATAATACAGTCCAGTCCAGCTATGCCAAGCACTTTATCGTTCATCATAATCTGTGACTCAGAAGCAGTGGGCTCATCTTCAAAGCTGCAGATTGTTTTGTGCATGAGAGTCATGGCTCCGAATGCAGCCATTTGTTCCGGGCAGGTCACTCTTTTCCATCCCTTCTGGTGGCTGACTGTCTTGTTGCCCAGCTTTCAAAGACTGATGTTTGACGTGGAACCAAACTGTTAAAGATCACTTGCTCAAAGGAAAGCAGAACTGTGACATGTTCCCTGAGTGGAGTTTAAAAGAGACCATGTGCTAAGTGGATTGATAAGCCTGAGGGAGCTTTCTAGGGCTGGAATTCTTAACAATTTTTCTGTTCTGGATGCCTTTTGACAGCCTGGTGAAGCCCATGGACGCCTTTCTGTGAAAAATGTTTTTAAATATATAAAATAAAATATATAGGATTGTCAAGGGAACTGATTGTAATGAAATAAGAATGTAATTTTTTTCCTATCCAAGTTCACAGACCCCTCTGAATTCCATAGACTTTTTCCATGGGCCCCAGTTTGAGAACCCCAAAGGGCTGTGTGCAGCAAAGGAGATCTCTGGGTTGAATGAAGGTTGGGTTCATTGGGGATGGTATACCCCAAATTATGAGGATTTTATTTGGACTTCTTGAGAAGAGAAGTTAGGCTGGAAATGTTCTGAAAACAACACACCTACTGTCAATTTTGGGGAAAAAACAGTTTGGCCTGTGTTTCTTTAGAAGCTCAAATTTGAATAGAATTTCATGAGGGTAAAGGATCCTTTATTGAGTACCACCTCTTCCCGGCTTACACAGAGGCTCAGATGTGGATCTGGACAGTTCAGAAGGCTCTGTCCCAGGGTCCCCACACCAAGTCCAGCCTCTTCCTTCTAAGAACTTTGCCTGCCTGGGATGGCCTGAAGAGAGCCCCAATAAAAACCATGCAGCTGGGTCTCTCTTTGACTAGTCAAAAAATCCACCCACCTTCAACTTCTTCCTCTTAAAAAGGTGGTGTGTTTGATAAGAAACTTGTTTGGCTAGCCCACCATCTCCTTTTAGGATGTTGAGATTGTATTTACAGGCAGGTGGGTGATACAGGAGAGCAGCTAGGCAGTGCAGTGGGTAGAGTGCTAGGCCAGGAGTCAAGAAGACTCATCTTCCTGAGTTCAAATTTGGCCTCAGACACATCCTAGCTGTGTGACCCTTGACAAGTCACTTAACCCTGTTTGTCTTTATTTCCTCATCTGTATAATGAGCTGGAGGAGGAAATGGCAAACTATCCTAGTATCTCTGCTAAGAAAACTCCAAATGGGGTCATGAAGAGTCAGACAGGACTGAAAAAAAACTGAAAGGAAGACGAGGAGGAGGTGACCCAGTGGATAGAGCCCTGGAGTCAGGAAGACCTAAGTGCAAATCTAGCCTCAAAACATTTGCTAGCTGTGTGACCCTGGGAAGATCATTTAACCTCTGATCTGTCCTGCCCTAGAAGAAAATAGAAGGGGAAGGGGATAAGAGAAGCGGGGGGAGAGATAGAAGGGAGGGCAAACTAGGGGAAGGGGTATTCAGAATGCATGCCATCTTGAGGTGGGGGAAGGGCAAGATGGGGTGAAAATATGGAACTCAAAATCTTGTGGAAGTAAATGTTGAAAACTAAAAATAAATTTATATATGTATATATTTATACACACACACACACGCACACACACATATATATATGATATGTAAAATCCTGTTTGCCTTTTCTTTCAAAAAAAAAGATCATTTAACTTCTGCCCACCTTAGTTTCCTCATCTGTAAAATGGGGGTGGTAATAGCACCTACCTATGGCAGTTAAATGCCATAGTGGATAGATCACTGTATTTGGAGTCAGAAAGACTTGAGTTCAAATTCAGCTTCTGACATTTACTAGCCGTGTGACCCTAGGCAAATGATTTAACCTCGTTCAACCTCAGTTTCTCCACCTCAATCATGGGAATAATAATAGGACCTGCCTCTTGTTGTGAGGAGCAAGAAAATATTTGTAAAGTGCTCTATAGACCTTAAAGGGCCCTGTAAATGCTAGCTATTGAGTCACATAATTGCCTCCCGCGGTTAGAAGTGGATGTTGGGGATCCCGACTTCACTGACTTTCTTTGCTGTTCTTTTCCAGTTGCTGTCTCCTTCCAAGTGAACGCCATGCTCTCACTATCAGAGCTCAAATACATAGCAGACGCCCAGTCCTCGTATCACATATTGAAACCCTGGTGGGATGTCTTCTGGTACTATCTCACCCTGATCATGTTGCTGGTTGCGGTGTTGTCTGGAGCTCTTCAGCTTGCTGATACCAAAATCTTGTGCTGTCTTCCTTGTAAAGTGGAATTCAACAATCGTTGTGTAGTGCCTTTGGATATGCATAAACTCAACAGCACCCCTTCGAATTCTCTGTCCCATGTGACGCCACCGATCCGGATCCAGAATGACCTTCACAAGCAGCAATACTCCTACATTGACGCGGTGTGCTACGAGAAGCAGCTGCACTGGTTCGCCAAGTTTTTCCCTTACCTGGTGCTCTTGCACACCCTCATTTTTGCTGCATGTAGTAATTTCTGGCTTCACTATCCCAGCACCAGTTCCAGAATTGAGCACTTTGTCTCCATCCTTCATAAGTGTTTTGATTCTCCCTGGACCACTCGCGCCCTTTCAGAAACCGTAGCTGAACAGTCTGTGAGGGACCGAAAGTCCAGAAGTCTGTTTTCACCCTCTGGCTTGTCCACCGACACCAATGCTAGCAAGCAGTCATTACTTGTCGGCCAGGCGAGCATAGAGTCAGGTCTGGAAAGCTCAACCTCCAGCGTCCTGGACAAAAAAGAAGGGGAGCAAGCTAAAGCCATCTTTGAGAAAGTAAAAAGATTCAGATTGCACGTGGAGCAGAAGGATGTCATATATAGAGTGTACATGAGGCAGATCATAATCAAAGTCATTTTATTCGTCATCATCATAGCTTATGTCCCGTATTTTTTGACCTATATCACCCTAGAAATTGACTGCCTCATTGACATGCAGGCCTTCACGGGGTATAAGCGCTACCACTGCGTCTATGCCTTAGCAGAGATATTTCAGGTACTCGCTTCATTTTATGTGATTATGGTTCTATTCTACGGCCTCACTTCTTCATACAGCCTGTGGTGGATGCTGAGGAGTTCCCTGAAGGAATATTCCTTTGAGGCGTTGAGAGAGAAAAGTAACTACAGTGACATCCCTGATGTCAAGAATGACTTTGCGTTCATCCTTCACCTCGCAGACCAGTACGATCCACTCTACTCCAAGCGCTTCTCCATATTTCTCTCGGAGGTGAGTGAGAACAAGCTGAAACAGATCAACCTCAATAATGAATGGACAATGGAGAAGCTAAAAAACAAACTGGTGAGAAACTCCCAGGACAAAGTGGAACTCCATCTCTTCATGTTAAGTGGGCTCCCAGATAACATCTTTGAGCTGACTGAGATAGAGGTGCTCACCCTGGAGCTGATCCCCGAGGTCAAGCTGCCCCCCTCCATCTCTACGCTAGTGAACCTCAAAGAGCTGAATATTTACCATTCCTCTCTCCTGGTTGACTGCCCTGCACTGAACTTCCTGGAAGAAAATTTGAAAATACTACGCCTGAAATTTACAGAAAGAGGGAAGATTCCTCGTTGGATATTTCACCTGAAAAACCTCAAGGAACTTTATTTGTCCGGCTACATTATATCTGACACCTTGAGCACGTTGAGCCCAGTGCAGGGCCCCACACAGGGCTTTCAGGATCTCAAGAACCTAAGGACACTTTACTTAAAGAGTGCGCTCTCCCGGATCCCTCAGGTGGTCACCGACACGCTGCCTGCACTGCACAAGTTGTCCCTAGACAATGAGGGCAACAAACTGGTGGTATTGAATAATTTGAAAAAGATGATACATCTGAAAAGCCTGGAGCTTATCAACTGTGACTTGGAGCGCATTCCTCACGCCATCTTCAGCCTCATCAATCTGCATGAACTAAACTTAAAAGAAAACAACCTCAAAACCATTGAAGAGATCATCAGCTTCCAACACCTCCAGAACCTTTCCTGCTTAAAGCTGTGGCACAACCACATTGCCTACATTCCCGCCCAGATCGGTGCCCTCTCCAACTTGGAGCAGCTCTACCTGGACCACAACAAGATTGAGAATATGCCGCTGCAGCTCTTCCTCTGCACCAAGCTGACCCACCTAGATCTCAGCCACAACCACCTGACGTTCATTCCCGAGGAGATCCAGTTTCTGACAAACCTGCTATATTTTGCCGTGACAGACAACTACGTAAGTGGGTCAGGTCATTCCTTTTCTAGCATTCTGGCATCATTTTCCATGACTTAACTTGTATTATTGTAAGGTCAAGGAAGGTATTCAGCACTATAGCTAGGTGGATAGGAAGGCAGGTGTGCAGGTGGAAAGGTAGGCAGAAAGATAGAAGGGCAGATCAGATCACTGGGGAGGAAGGCAGATGGGTAGGAAGGGAGGCAGACAATTACCGGGAGGAAGGCAGATAAATTGACAGAAAACTAGGCAGGTAGGTAGATAGTGCCTACTATGTATGCTTTATGAGAAACAAAATGGCATAATAGATATAGAGAGCCAACCCAGAGAGTTAGGAACATGTAGGTTCAAGTCTTGCTTCTGACATGTATTGGTTCTGTGGCTCTGCCCAAGTCACTTAACCCAGGGCCTCTCTGAGACTTGAAGTCACTCGGAGATTCCAGAATTCCATCTATAGAGGAAGTTTCTTTACCTGAAGTGCCACACACTGATGAAATCTCAGATCCTGACCAAAAACAAGATGTCTAGTGCATATATGTGACATGGGTGTTGAGGCAGCATGACACAGGGGTTAGAGTGCTAGGCTTGACCCAGAAAGACCCACGTTCAAATCACTGCTTCTGCCACTGGCTGTGTGACTATGGGTGACTGGAAGGATGAGGGTGCCCCTGAGGCGACATAGTGGAGTTAGGAGTGTGATAGGAAGGAGGAGAAGATAAGGAGCTGCCTTTTGAATACATTAAATTTGAGAGCTTTTCAGTTAGAAGCTGGGGACAGCTAGCAATTCTGCAGTGCTTTAATGTTTGAAAAGCAGTTTACAAGCATTATCTTATTTGGTCTGCACGACAACCCTGTGAGAGGAAGGTGCTTCTCTTAGCCCCATTTTACATATGTGGGAACTGAGGCAGGCAGAGATGAAGTGACTTGCCCAAAAGTGACAACAGCTCATATGGGTCTGAGGCTCAGGTCTTCCTGACTCCAGGACTAGCATTCTCTCCATTGTGACACTTAGGTGGTGAGGTACCGAAGATAGCCAAGCAGTCCATGTTGGTGGTAGCCTAGAGTACATGCTGGTGAGTGTTCTGAGCTAAGGTCTGTCCTTCAGTAAAAGAATCACAGAATTCCAATTCTCACATCAAAGGAATCTCAGACCTGCCGCTCAGTCACTGCTGCTTTGCCTTTTTGTAAAATGTCACTAGCAGCACCTTGTTCTTTGTCTTCCAAAATTTCTCTTTTCTTAAGCCATCTCTGCTGCATTCTGTTCTGGGTGGCTTGGCTTTAAAAAAAATGCATCAATCTCTATGCAGTTACTTTGAGAATACCATGGAGCATAAGAGATTTACTAGAAAATTGGGAAGGCAAATGTTAATGTTGATTGTTCAGGCAAGATAAGTTATCTTAGCCATCACTTTGACAATTAGGTCCCTAGTGAAAGAAAGAACAAAGCTCTTCTGAATACGGAAGGAAATCTCAAGTGTTTAAAAGATTACAGGGTTCTAAAGCTATGTAGGACTGACCTGGGGAGAGGTTCCTGGTGAAGGAAGCTGAAGTATTCAGGTGCTATCTATCTATCTATCTATCTATCTATCTATTGGAACTCAGAATGGCCTTACAAGAAACTCACAAAAACATGTATTAGTGTCATTGAGGGCAAACTCACAAATCACCATTGATTTACTTGTTATCTGAGCCTAGGCTGAGCTTAGCCCATGGAGTAACTGACATTTGCCAAGCTCAGAAATTCAAAGACTCAAATCTGAATTGGCCATCAGAATACATGCTTTTATGTTCTATGAAAGAGTCTTGGGAGTAGGATTCTGATATATTCATTGAAAAAAAATAGTACCTCGAACAAATTAGGCTTTTTTCTTCAAGTAGACTCTCATTTGTCAGAATAACTCTGATCCCCTATGTCAGGATTCTCCTTAGGAACACATGAGCTCATACGGCATCACCGAATTTATTGCCAAATTGTTGGCATCTTAGAGGAGAGGGGAAGAATGGAACTATAGCTAGAAAACCAAGACTTGAGGGCTTTGACAATTACCAAGCACTCAACCATCAGTAACTCACCTCCCTTTCTCAGCCATACTTTCCTTCGCCTGTAAAATGAATGCAGTCATACTTGTATGACCTATCACCAAGGAGATGATCCCTTGACCCTCCCTCTCCACTTAGATCCTGAGCTTTCTTACAGGCCTTTGATCTTGCTGTCTTAAACGTTTGGAATATTCTTCCCACCCAGCCATCACTTCCACTCACTGAATGACTTTTTCTCTTTCAAAGGCCAGTTCATATGCTATCTCCCCCATAAAGCCTTCCTTGATGATATGATCATAAATCTACAGCTCTAAAGACTGTAAAAACAAGGTCATCTCGTTCACCCTTTTCATTTTTACAGTTGAAGACACTGAGACCTGGAGAAATTAATTAACTTGCCCATGTTCATAGAGGTAGTGAGTGGCAAAGTCAGATTTGACTAAGTTTACTCCATATTCAGTATTCTTTCCACTATACCATTCTGCCTTCCAACTGTTAGTGATTTTTCTCCCTCTGGACTTCATATCATTTTGTTTTGCCTCCCATATACTTACGGAGCTTTGGATGTGAAATAAGAAGAGCTGGGTTTGAGCCCCAATTCCATGACTTATTTTTTATGTGCACTTTGGAAAGTCAACCTTTTGGACTCTCAGTTTCTTCATCTACAAAATGGAGACAATGGCACTGCATTTCCTACGTCATGGTGTTATTGCGCTGAGTAATATGTAATGGTAAGTGCTTTGCAGACCATGAATGACCATAAGAATGTCAGCATAGTGTTTACATTATAGGCATTTTGTACCTGTACTAGACCTTTCAGTTGCATGAGGACAGGGGACACCATTTCTCTATGATTTTGCCTCACCCCCAGTACTGAGTAGAGTGCTCCCATACAGTCAGTATTGAACAAATGTTTATGTGTTAGAATTGGAGTCACAGGGCTATACGAGATGCTTTCTGATTAGATACTGTCTGACTCCTCCCTCAGAGATTTTCATCAAAGAAGGAGACTATATAGAGAAATAGAATAGATGTGTCTGTATAATGTCATTCAGTCAACTAGTCATTTACTAAGCACTTACTGTGTGTGCCAAGGCATTGGGTTAAGCTCCAAACAAATGAAAGGCAAAAACAGAGCCTTCTTCAAGGAGTTCACATTCTAATGAGGGAGACCACATGTAAACAATTGAGTGTACACTAGCTATATACAGAGTAAATGGTGCTTTAAGGCATCCTTCCCATTCTCTCCACAAATTTAACTGCTGTCCTTTTCAATGTCAGAGCATGACTGCCCCAAGCAAGCCAGCTTTCTTCTTACCACTTTTCTACATTTTTCTCATCTTTGACAAATTGGCTCAAAATCTGCTTCTTTGAGCTTTCCCTGGTTAATCTGAAGCAGCTGAACACCCTCCCTCATTCCGTACCAGTCAACAACCAACGTTCACTTCTGGAACTTGCTTTGTTACACATTGATATTGTCCCAATTCCAGCCACTACTCCCACCCCGTCTTTCTCACCCAGCTGTTAGTGCCGAGTCAAATCAGCAAGCATCTGTTAGGCAACTACTATGTGCCAGGCACTGTGCTAAGTGCTGGGGATACAGAAATAGTGCCTGCCCTCAAGGAGCTCACAGTCTAATGGGGGAAGCAGCATGCAAATAGTTTTGTACGTATAAGCTATTTTGGAGACAATCTCAAAGGGAATGCAGCAGAATTAAGGAAGAAAAGGAAAGATAGAAGAGGTTTTTTCCCCTTTAATTATGAGAACTAAAATACTATCAAATTAGTAAATTATTGAGAGAAAATCAATAACTTCGGAAAGAGCATTTCACTTGAATGATGAGGGCAGACAGCAGTTTGCAAAGGGGTGAGGAGAGGAAATGGAGGTTAAGGAAGAGGAAGAGAAGTTGAGGTCCTTACCTGAGAGAGTCAGTAATTGAGAAAAGAAAAGAGAAGATTTTGCATGGCATCTTTAGAGAGTGAAGCAGTGAATCAGTTAGGGAGCACTGAAAGAATTGTGTTGCTGCATTGAGGGCCCAGTGGAAATTGGATGGATGTGGATCTTGTAGTATACCCAATAAATAATACGGTTGTATGATTTCTAGCTTGATTCAGCATGTGAGCACAGGAGTGGAGGAGCATATGGTGGGAGTAATTGAGAGCTGGGGTTTGGCTGGTGAAGGATGATCTGCGATAAGAAAGGGAGGGCAAGAAATTCAAGAGCAGAAGATAGTGTGAAGTTGAATTAACTGTAAAGTCAAGATTAGGCAGCTAGGTGGTGCCATAGTACATAGAGCACTGGGCCTGAAGTTAGGAAGACTCATTTTTCTGAGTTCAAATCCTCACTCGCCAGCTGTGTGTCCCTGGACAAGCTACTTAACCCTGTTTGGCTCAGTTTCCTCATGTGTAAAATGAGCTGGAAAAGAAAATGGAAACCACTCTAGTATCTTTGCCAAGAAAACCCTAAATGGGGTCACAAAGAATAATCAGACATGACTGAAAATGACTGGAAAAAAAAGGTCAAGATAGGAAAGGAAGGAAAGTAATGTCAGTGCAATGGAAATCTGAGAAATAAGACAAATGAAAATAATAAGTAATCTAGAACATACAGCAGAAGATGTTTTCAAAACAGTAGAGGTTTTGATGAGAAAGGTTTGGCAAAAAAAAAACATTGGACATTTCATGCATTTTCTAATCAAAGTTACTAACATAAAGGATAGTATATGCAGAAATAATGTGAGACCTGTGTTTCACAGAAAGAAAAAAAAACAGGATGAAGTAGAAAGCCTAAATACCATATTTCAGGAAAAATATAAGAAAATTGTCCAGAAATATTGAAAACTGAAAGAAAAGTTCTGCTTTACAGAATCCACAAATCACCTTAAAAAAAGAACCTTATGGTTCAGTCACTAAGGAATATAGTGCTTATACTTGTGTCAAAATGAAAAGTATTACAAATAATTA